GGTACCTCGAAGGCCACTGAAATAGGCTATCTCTTCCAATCCACCTATCAGGAAATGCGCGATCAAGAAATCTACGGACGTTTGCTGCGAAAAAGGCTGGACAGCCATCATGTTGGAAAAACATTGTTCTTCTGGTTTCCAACGGCACATTTTCTAAAAGAAGTGGTAAGTGATTGTCCAAAAAATTTAAATATATTTGCCCTCTAAGCGGCTCATCCCAAATAAAAGGACCTATGATTTCAGTGCCTAAAATGCCGCACTAAACGTTTACGCTTCACCTTCCTTGGTGCTCAGTACACCTAGGACTCTTCTAGGTATCGTTTGCCTCCAATTTTACGTTCGTCTGCTTAAGATAATAGTGACAGCTGTCAACCAAATTATAATTTTTCAAAATCTAAGTTTTCAATAACGCCAGGGTTAAGTATAAATCAAAGTATCGGTGGTTACGCCGTGAATTTCGGAGCCCACAGGGCCTTCCACAACTACCAAAGGTTTTGAGGCTGAATACACGAGACGCCTCAAAAATAGATGCAGATTCACTCAACCACAGTACGAAAGAGTACTTAAACTGAATTTGCCGAAGACTGCAAAAGCCAAAATTACAACAGGAAGACTCCCCGGCAAAAATTCTCGAGGTTTCACCTTCAGGTGACCTCCAAACACATACTAAAGCTACACAAGAGCAAACCTTTAACATAGAAGAGGGAATACAGGCGCGTAAGCCGTCCACAGCCGACTCAGAGGAGTCACTGGAATTCCAGGACTGTCAGGAGAGCCAAGATAGTCAAGCAGGTGGTAAAGAATATGACATAACTACACAAAAATTAATAGAGGTATTAGAATGATCAGGAGACTCTTTCGAAAGTACGGACTCCTTAGTGAACACAGAACCAAACCCTAAACTTGAATCAGGACAAATCCCCCCAAAATTTTACCTGAATTTTTACAAGCTACAAAAAATATGACTTTTAAAACCTTACCGTTTCCTACAAATGTTGTTAAAAGAAACCTTGACTTTGGCAACACAGCTACCCTAAGCAGAAGCATTAGCCAAAAACCCCCTGAAAAAACATCTGTAAGTGTGGATAACGCTCAAAAGAGGGGCGAACTGAGTATCTTCTCTCGAAAGTCTGTGTCCACACTCGCAGCCCCATAAATACCCATATCCACGGGTGCTGTCCCCAAAACAAGGATCTACAGTGACTCCCGCATAAGAATAGAGGTCAATAAAAATGACATTTCTACTAGTATTGCGGAAATACTAAAATACGATCCTAATAGCCATACCTCTGAAGAGGAGGACAAAACCAGGAAAGAGAGGGTCAATAGCTACAGCAACTTACCTCATTCACCCAATAGCCTGTTTGAAGCCAGAAACGCTGCTGACAGAGCGGCATACGACCAGGAAACAGACATGGAAACGGAAACAACAAAGAAGGGTAAGGAATCACCATTTATCACATCAAAAAAGTTCTCCGGAAACTTCCAAAATCTCATTAGAGAGAAGTCTAAAAAGACCCTCACCCCACGCAAAATAAATTTCAACCTCTCACCGATGAATCTGATTCGGACGCAGACGATGAAATTGGAAAAATCGTGAAAAAGCGCAAAAAGGGAACCAAATTTGTACCCCTGGATATGTCTGGAAATCAAGCAAATCGAATTATCAGTAACACACACGCAAACGCAACAAAAACTGATAATGCACATAAAACTCAAGTTAGACCGAGCACGAACAGAAATACAATGCCCCCAATTGTAATCGATGGCAGGACGGCCAAATTTAGATAATGATCTAAAAGGCATAGTCAAAGGTGAATTTTCCATAAAACACACGAACTACACTACCATCATTTTTGTAGAGAATAAAGAAGACCATCAACGAGTGCTAGAAAATATTAAGTCAGAAAATATGCCATATCATACATATACCTTAAGGGATGACAAATCACACGCCTTCGTCCTTAGAGGTCTTGCAGAAGGCACCAAAATTGCAGACATAGAGGAGAACCTTGAAGAAGAGCATGAGATAAAACCACGTGCGGATTATAAAATGCGCACCAAAGAACGACCACTATTTCTCGTGGTTACAGAGACTGTAATTACGTTGGAATATTTAAATAAAAATACTCGTAGGGTCCTTTATACCAGAGTGACATGGGAGTTGAGGAAATCCATGAAACTCATTATACAGTGCCGGGGGCACGCAACCTCCAATTGTGGCCGAAAAGCACGATGCTTGAAGTGTGCGGGTGATCACCACACGAGAACCTGCTTAAAAACTCCAGATACGCCGGCAACATGTGCAAACTGTGGGGGTGATCACCCCGCTAACTACTCCAAATGCTCTAATTACGTTGAAAAATTAGAGAAAATGCTAGAAAGAAGACCGAAACAGCAGCAGAAATATGTTTCCGCCCCCCAGAGAAATTGGTGTGAGTAGGGGCATGAATATTCGCAAAATGCACTCACTTACATACATACGAGACAGGATACATGAGAAAATCGACATACATCTTCCATAACAGCGATAACCCCACTGAATAGTAAAATCACTACGACGATTAGTTGCAAACTATCGTCGGACGGAAGACTGCCAGGTGCGAAAATTCATGGCTTGCCGGAATTTATGTGTTGTTTGATGGCTTAATTGTGTAGTCTTGTGATTTTACTAATTCATGCACATAAATGACCCTGTTTTTTCAACTGGTGTTTCAGGGACGACAGACAAAAGTAAAATCACACAAAAACTTAACACTTTTCCATTACTGATCTGGTTAATAACCTATATTGACCTATAATGCTGATTACAGCAAGGAGGGGTCACTAGAAATCACAACATAAACTAATGCATTATAATTTCACGGCCAAGACATCGGTCATGGTCCCGCCTGGGGTCATTGCAGAAGAGGAACACTTCCTGAATTCATTAAGAAGAAATCCCTCTGTGTTTTATGTAATTAAAATGTTATTAGATCTGAAATGTACATATTGTAAATAAAGAAGTTTTGTAAGTAAGTAAGTTTCTTGGTGCTGCACCTCCTATATCCAACATGGATTACTGGCTGACCAATAATGCATATTGTGCATATTGATTCTACCGTCACTATGAAAGATTGCGTCGTCCGTCCACAAAATTCGGGTTAAAAGGTTTCTGTCTTCCGCAATCATATTTATCAACTAATGACAGTAGTCTAACCTCCTGTCGTAGTCTGCGACGGTCAAAGCTTGGTGTAGCACAATATGATATCGATTAACCTAAGACAGAGATTACTTAGCACTATTAGGATATCATAATAATAATATATCTAATAATCAACTGTGTTTTTTCAATATTCGAAATACTGTAGTCTGAGAGATACCTAAATCTCTCGAATTTACTCGAACGCTTAGCTGGGGATTGAACTCAACATAAGTTAAAACATTGATGACATTTTTCTCAGTTCTTCTTGTACCCTATCTGCGGTGTAAGGGGCAAAGAACACTTCCCGTGGTTCGAAAGCGATTTGCTAAACAAGTAAACATTCTGCTGCCGTCTTGGAGGACATCTTAACGCGTACAGCCTTGCAGCTATATAGTCGCATTTTGCAGGTACTTAAAATAAATAGCGATACTCGTAATATCAACCGCCTCTTCAAGCAACAAAGGCATTTAAAACAACACACAATACAGTAATACAGCGAATACGACAAAATAATGTTTTGACGTGAAAATTGTTGATTTTTTGACATTACAAGCTTTTTTTGTTTTCAAAGCTTACTTGATTTGAAAATATACCTACACGCTCAATGGATTATTGTACTTATAAGTAATTATGCATTATTATCTATATAGTTCGATTATTTAAAATATGTAAAAATCATGGTTAAGCTTAGTAGAAAATGCTGGGTTATTAAATGTCTTACGTTCCTACGTTTTATTTATATTTTTGCTAAAATCTGCGGTTTGAAAAGAGATATCCAAATGCGGTTTTCGCCAAAGTATTGGAATTTTTTTCTCTATCTAACTATGTAAAAAGGTATATATCGTTTATTTAAATTTTTCGAAACATTTCGTAAAATTTGTCAGTTTTTAACTTAACGCCCTCTAGCAGCGTTCATAAAACGTAAGCAGCCACAGTTTATAAAGCCTAAAATGAGGCTGAAAAAGCTCTTCTAAAAAAAACCAAGTACACTAAATTCGGTAAAGCCAAACCGGAGTTATGAGTATTTTTCCAAATTAAAGTTTAACCTTCCCCTACCACTCTATTTCACAACTGACAAACATTACACTTAAAGCTTTTTTGTTCAGAAAACATTAAAGATTAAAATAGTAATATTTATCAATATACTTTACTTGGTATTTTTTTTTGAGAAAATTAAATTTTTATGTTTTGACGTCACAATTACGCCCCCTAGCGGCCACCCTATAAACTTGAAAATAATTTCTAGCAATTTCTCTCGACCGTTTTTAATAAAAATATTTTTTCCCCAAAGCTGTGCTATTATTAGTTTCTGCAATATAGTACCTCTCTTAATGGAAAACCCGGTACATTGCTAATAAATCTACTGAGCAAAACATTAATCAAATGTCCTTTTAACTGACAGAATGAAAAGTATATTTGAGCGATATTTCAATAACTTTAGTAAGGAAGGGAAGCAACTGTATCAGTCTATAGTTATTAATAGACTAACGATAATCCACTTTACATAATGTAACAACTCTGGCTTCAATACGTGAGGCTCAGAAATATTACCTACCTTTTTATTTTCTGTGAGCATTTATATATATTTACAGCCTTTTTGTTGAGATGTTTATTATGTACAAAGGAATTTAATATTTCCCTTTAAAAACATTTATAATTGATTGATTGTTCATAGTAAAATAATCAAAACATACATAGGTTATCTTACATCTTACTTAAAACATTTATAGACTGCATTAGTTTTTGTATTAAAAAGCCTTATAACTATTCTATTAAATAGTATTATGAAGGAGTCTCTTACATATCTATCCCATACCTTTGGCTCGGACTTTTGCAATCTGATTCGTTAGCATTCGAACTATCGTCTTCTTCTCGACTAGTGTTTTGCGATTTCGGAGAATGAAGCGGCGTATTCGCGTCATCGGAACTACCATCGTCTGCTCCCGTATTCGTCACCATCAAGTGCCCCCCGCCTGCCGATGCGCCACCGCTGGTCCCATGATGACCGCCGGCGCCTCCGCTGCCCGCCGTCGCACTCGGTGGGTCAATCTATAACAACGATAAAAGAACATTTCGATATTTTATTGGTAAAAAATTATAATTATTGTAAAACATACAAAATTTTGGCTGCGATATAAAAAATATGCAACTTTAAAAGAACCATTGTATAAATACGTATGTATGTCCGTATTTAAATAGTAAAGCCCGGCCCTGATCCATAGAGTTAAAAGGTAGGGAAGCTATAAGCATTTTTTTCAAAGATTGAAAACGGTATCACTAGCTTATGTAGACTTAATATGGCCAATCTGTCAGAACTGGACTGGGTGGACTGTTGGGAATGAAAGCAAAGCCTATATTTTTCTTCAGGAAGCATAAGTTATATTTATTAATTGTTATAAAACGGATGATGTGCAAGTGGAAGTTTTAATGTTACATAGTATTTTATAGAATAAATACAAAGTCAACAAATTTCTTTTCATATATCATGGTTTAACGTAACTAATATTTTAGACCGTAACTGATCAAACATTAAATAATCAGTTGTTAAATAGGTAGGTGTTAATAAAAAATACACTTGCGTGCATAGAAATCGGCCCACTGTAAACTTTCGACTTTAAATATATTTTTTTTTAAATATTCATCAGATAAAAAAAAATATGCTGTTTGAAAAACAAATTAATATGCTTTAATGTGAGTATAAATTTATGAAAACTTATTTCGACTTTCTATGTTTAACATAGTAAAATTAATGCATTAAGCAAATTAAGCTTTTATGTTTAACATAGTGAAATTAATGCATTAAGCAAATAAAGCTTTTTTTTTTTATTAAGATGTGGCGACATCATAGCACCACATAGTCTTACCTTTAGTTTTGACTTTTACGTCAATTTATTTTAAGGTTTCTCAGTCAGTTTATATTTGAGGTTGGTCAAGTGTCAATGTCAGATTATAATAACATCACATATATTATGATCTTGGTCGATAGCTGCGTACACTAGCACCCTACTTATCCGATGGATGGTAACCAAGGAAAAGGAAACAAAAATTATTGATTATTACTGATTCGAAATTAAGAAGACAAGACATGACACAAAGACGCGACATTTTTTAAAAAGACATTAATATTAAGTTATCATATATATATTTGGATTTTTTAAAGTTAATAAATTATTTTTTTAATATTCAGTTGAAAATTATTTAAATGGAAATTGCTACCTACAATTGGTGACCCCGACAGAAGGTTCCTCACCCGACAGAAGATTTCACACCCGACAGAATATTCCACACCCGACAGAAGATTCCACACCCGACAGAAGATTCCTACACCCGACAAGAACGACATTTTGAAGATCCCACCCAAGAAAGCAATTGAATATCCATTTATGGTTGATACATTTTTTCGGGTAAGTGGGGTGTTTTTGTTGGTATCTTTTATCGATTTTTGATCATATATAATGCCTACAGACTGTCTGACATTGCCAGTCGAGGAGCCTCAAACCTCAGTTGATAATAATATTTTTATGGAAGACATTTCTAAAGTTAAACTGCCAGTTTTTTGGGCGCATCAACCAGATCTATGGTTCAAGTACATATAGAGTCAATTTTATATCCATAAAATCCTTTTTGAGAAAAGTAAATTTCATTTGGCGATCGCGCATTTACCAGCCGAAATTTTCGCTAAGATTTACGATATAATCTCTGATCCCCCAGAGAATAATGCTTTTTCTACCTTAAAAGAATCAGTTATAAATAGACTTTTTCTCTCTGAGAAACAACGGTTAGATAAATTACTATCCAGAGCTGAAATGGGCAATAAAAAACCTTCAGATTTTTATAGAGAATTAATTAGATTTTCAGGTGATTCTATAATTCATGAAAATTTATTATTAAAAATATGGAGAAGAAGACTCCCAAAATGTATAGATATTTCTTTAACTGTATCTGGAAAATCTTCTACTAAAGAGTTATTAGATATTGCCGATAAAATTTGGGAATCGTCCCCTTCCTCTAATTTTTCTTATTATACTGGTAACAAAGACGAAGAAGTTTTTTCTATTAATAAGAATACCGAAATTCTAAATCTTTAAAGGATTTAAAGGATTAATAGATAAATAGTTTATTCTCACTTCAGCTTCTGGCAATACAATATCTACTTATGAAAAAAAATTTCTTAATATCGATATTGGATTGCGAAGAGTATTTCCTTTTCTTTTCACCATTGCAAATGTAACTAAACCAATTTTAGGTGCAGATTTCTTAACTCATTTTGGCCTAATTTTGGATTTCAAAAATTCTAAAATACGCGATAGTGAAACTTCATTAGATTCTATTGGAAAAAATTTTAATTTTAAAACTAAAGACAATTCACCTAAACTATTTAATGTTGAGACTAAATATACGGAACTTTTTAAAAAATATCCTGGAATTTTTTCATCTCCAAATTTTAATTTATCTGCAAAACATAACGTTAAACATCATATTATAACAGAAGGAAACTTACCTTTCTGTAAACCTAGACGTTTAGATCCTAAAAAATATCAAATTGCTAAAAAAGAATTCGATCAAATGATTGAATTAGGCATTTGCCGACCTTCACCTTCTTATGTCACTTCTGCTTTACACATGGTCCAAAAAAAAAGACTCAAAAGATTGGAGACCTTGTGGAGATTACAGATTTTTAAATAAAGTAACAGTACTTGACAGATTTCCTTTAAGTTTAATTTCTGACGTTAATGTTAAATGTCATGGTTGTAAAATTTTCTCAAAAATCGATTTGGTTAGGGCCTATCACCAGATTCCGATAGCGAAAGAAGATATTTTTAAAACAGCAATCACCACTCTTTTCGGATCTTTTGAATTTCTCAGAATGCCTTTTGGATTACGTAACGCTGGCAATACCTTTCAAAGATTCATTACCGAAGTTACTAGAGGCTTAGATTTTATTTTCGTGTATTTAGACGATATTTTAGTCGCTAGCAAAAATTCAATTAATCATTTTAAACATTTGGATATTTTATTTGAAAGATTAAACTCTTTTGGCGTTAACGTTAAACCAAGTAAATGCATTTTTGGAGTTGAAAAAATTAATTTCTTAGGTTTTACTATTTAGCGGAAGGATTATTTCCTTCAGACGGAAAAATAGAATGTATTAAAAATTTTCCTAAGCCGAATACTTTCAAACAATTACAACGTTTTGTTGGTATGATAAATTTTTATCACAAATTCGTTCCAAAATTCGCCCAAATTTTAGCACCTTTGCACGATTTTATAACATTTTTAGACAAAAATAAAGTCAAAATTATAAAAGATTGGCCAATCGATTGTGAAAAGAGTTTTAATGAAGTAAAAGAAGCACTTATTAAATAATCTTTTCTGGCACATCCTTCAGAGGAATCCATTCTATCACTTACAACAGATGCTAGTAATTCCTGTGTAGGTGGTGTTCTTGAACAAGAAGTAGATGGTGTTAGACAACCCACCGCTTTTTTCTTAAAGAAATTAACCAAATCGCAATTAAACTATAGTGTTTTCGATAAAGAATTATATGCAATCTACCTTTCAATCAAACATTTTAGATATATGTTAGAATCAAAAGATTTTAAAGTTTTTGTGATCATAAACCAATTGAAAAAGCAATTTTCTCCAAAACAGATAGATCTCCTAGACAATTCAGATATATAGAATATATTTTACAGTTTACTAATAAAGTTTTTTACGTAGGTAGCAAAAACGTAATAGTCGCAGATTTCTTAAGTAGAATGGAATTAGATTTTATTTGAGTAAAAAAAATAGAATCGGAATTAGATTTAAAAATAATAGGAGAAGAACAAAAATTAGATTTAGAATTAAAAGGTTTATTAGAGTCACAAAATCAAAATAATAATAAAAACAAATTTTATTTACAAAAAGTTCAAGTTAATTTCCCACCAGCAGATATATGGTGTGAAAATACTAATAATACTTTAAAACCTTACATTCCCAAGTCACAACGTTATAATATTTTTATTAAGGTACATAACGTGGCGCACACTGGAGGTAAGAGCACTTTAAAATTGATAAAAAATAGATATTTTTGGCCAAGAATGAGCAAAGATATACACTTATGGTCAAAATCTTGCATAAATTGTCAAAAGGCAAAAATTTCTAAATATACAAAATCACCAACAGGTGAATTTTCAATCCCAAAAGGTAGGTTCCAACACATCCATATATATATATATATACATGTAATCCACCATAGCGAAGCCCGAAAATGCATATTTCGCGGTTTATAAGAAGCCCGCTGCAGTTTACCGAAGCCCAAAACGGGCTTCCTAATTTTTACAGTGTATATTCTAAAATTTTGGCAGAAGGTGCCATCTGTTTTCGGAATAAAAACTAGTACGGTTTATACAGTTGCTAATCTTATGAAAACTGGCGTTACATTTCAATTTTTCCCCACAGATGTCGTAAAAATGTACTATTTCTAAAATGTTAATAGGCTTCTTAAGCTTGCAATATGTCTGCATATATACACTAGTTAGTTCATGCAAATCAACTGTAGAGGGCTTGTATATATACGTACGATCCTCAGGGGTCAATTCTACAGTACCGATTATATGAAGCCTTACGATTTGGCAGCATTGGAGCTGAGTGATATAATCGCTGATACTATGAAATGGTCTATTAATGAAATCGAGTGCTGCTTAGAATAGATTAACGATTTGATCTTTGCTGGTCATTAGGTTAAGATAAAATATTTGTCAATCATACTACATACTTGTATTTAGCAAAACTTGAAAAGATCGTGTTATACCAAGTGTACAGCAATCAATTCGTTAATCAAAAACATATTTTTTATACAGGGTGTATCATAAATGTAAATATTTAATTAAACCTATACAGAAAACAAATGAAAATACGACTTCAGATGTGTTATACTTTAAAATTTTAGAAGTTATAGTTAAACAAGCTTATACAGGGTGTAATAAAATGATGTTCACCAAATTTAACCACAGTGTCTGGGATCGAAAATAATTTGATTCAAGCTAACTTGTTTACATTAGAAA